GGTCAATCCTGCCCCATCACAGAGCAGTCAAGGGGTCAGCAGTGTACCTACATGGCTCACATGTGACATAAGGAAAAAGTGTGTGGAGCAGAGGTTCCTGCTGGGGGCAGATCTTTCATGATGTTATTGAGGGAAAATTGTGGTAGGAAGGTATGGGCCTGCATGCCACGGTCAATACAACTCTGCTGCTATTTTCCTCCCTGGACAATTATCCCACAGTGAATTTCTGAGTCACAGGATGGCATCCCATCAGATCAAATCATTTGCTCAGTGATGGAACAAACTAATGTGCAAGCTTGAAATGGAGAGCTGTCTCTGTTTGCTCAGCTGACAGCAGTGCAGCAGTTGCTATTTCCATTGCAACCCCTCAGAGCAAAAAAGGAGAATATGTATCAACCAGCAAAAGAAAATAGAGATGTTCCGTATTACTCTTTCAACTAAATATGACCAAATGCAGGCAGACAGCTCTCTGCCCTCACTTCCCCGAGTGCAGAGCTTCTGCTTTATCCACTGATGCAACAGATTACTAAATAATAGACAAACCTGATATGAACTCTCCCACATATCTCTGTGCTTGTGCTTAAATGAGAAGACTCTTGTTGAATTTTTTGCTTGATTTTAACAGCATTACTACCAGTAATATGCCACTGCCCTCTGCTGGAAAAACCTGTGCAATCGTGCCAGGCAAGTGGAAAGAAAACCAGACTGGAATTCAAAAAATGCATAATGTTACTTCATTTGGATCTGAATTGCAACATAACAGGGACAGCGAGAGCCCCAGTGACTGTGAGCTGCACTGCTCAGCCACAGTCCTCTTCTTCCTCTCCTGAGAAATGTCAAAAGGGAAAAAGAAATGGCAGTGGAGGGACACATCTGACTAAAGTTAAAAGCATTTGCTCATTTTTTTTTCCCACACCTTGCATACGGATTTTCAGAACTCTTTTCTAGCTAAAGCTGTGTTTTTCAGAACTCTTACTAGAATAGCCTGTATATTAAATGCCCAGTTTAGTGGCTTGGAGTCTGTGGCTGACTGATCCATGCTGAAGATTGAAGGTGGCATTGATTCTTTGGGGCAAGTATGTCAACCAACACTCCTTGTGAAAACTGTATAATTAAAACTGCTTTCAGACAGCACTGGTTATACAGTCTGTATGGATACCACCAAAAAAATGCACTCTTCTTGAATACTGAATGTGGGGTTAATGAAAGAACAATGGCAGCAATGGATTTGAGCAAGCAGGTGTATCTGCGAAAAGGGTGTCTTTCAATAAAAGTTTTCCAGGATTTGTTTTTCTATTTCAGATGCAATGCTTGGAGCTTCTCATGCTGATTTCTTATCATGGGAGGCATTAGGGTATCCTGAATTACTGAAATACTGTTGTTATATCAGCCTCCAAGCATGGAGCTGCTGCCTTGAACAATCATGGCAAGTCTTCAGCTTAAACCTGAAGAGTGAAAATATATTTGCTTTGATTTACAAGTGCACATAAAACCATGGTAGTTTATTTCATCTTCTCCATTAGCCTACATCCATCACTGGTCAAGGTAATTGACACATCCTGGGGAGAGGACAAGAAACAATGTGAAAAGCACAAGAAAATGCTAAGCAGGCTTTGACAGAATTCCTTTTCCTTTTTCTTTTTCTTTTTCTTTTTCTTTTTCTTTTTCTTTTTCTTTTTCTTTTCCTTTTTCTTTTTCT